ATTCTTTAATGAAGAATAGGCCAGACTGCTGAGAGGGGGGCTGGCAAGAGCTCTGATCCATGCTCTCTTGCATGGGCAGTCATCACAGCTTGCAATCTGCCTAGCAGTTGTCTGCATGAAGCTTGCCCTGGTCATTCACAACACCGGAGTAGCGAGCATGTTAAGGAAACAGGCATGACTTTCAGGCTCTTCGGGCCTGAAGGTCACCAAGAGGAAATCTGCAATTGTTTCATTGTACTGGGAGGGAAGCAAGATGGCATGTGCTTGCATAATGTTGTCGCCAGATGTGGCCAGCGTAGAGCCCTGTGTAATACACAGCCATGCTATATTAGGGAATATGCTCTGGCTTGAAGTTTCTTTGCTCAACTAGGTTGAAGCTGGTGCAGTGGCTCCGCATAAACATCTCAGTCTGGGAGCTCATTCAGTGTAATGGAAAGGTGACTGCCAAGTCTTGAAAGAAAGACACTTCTGTTTGTTAAAGACCTGAGTAGCAGTTTGCATTTTCACTTGCTTGTTACCAGTCTAGCTTACCTGTTTTTAAGGCCCTCTGGGTGCTGAGCTGTCTCTGAAATCAGTGCTGGGAATAGGGTGAGGACAGTATTAAATCTGAGCCAGAGCAGGAGGTTATTTTGCTTTCCATACTGGAATTATACAGGTATGTGGTGGTGTGTGTATTTCTACCTAGCCAATTTATTGTTTGCTTTCAAAGAGCATATTCCCATTAATTGCTATTAAAATATTTTTTCATATATTTACAATTACTGTGCATTCCTCTGATTTTCCACCTTGATGAAAGCTGAAAGAAGACAAAATTTTAAACTCTCTTATGGGATGAGACATAAAGGGGAGTGGGATTTGCATACATGTGTTTTGTACCGGGAGGGATTAAATGTGGCTGTCCTTGAAGGAAGCACTTTTTAGCAAGACAATGAAAAATTCAACAAATTTTAGCAATAAACCACAGTCAACTGAAGATCAAAGGCATTATGTGAAGTGCAGAGATGAAAAGGAGAGAGAGACTGGTACTGCTTTTGAAATGAGTGTTTTTGTGGGGAGATGGTATTTGCAGGGCACATACTTTGCTATGATTCTGACTCAAGTAATGTGGCAATGCTGGTAAATGTTGTAGATAAGTTCTTTGCTTATCTGTCTTCTCTTAGTCTTTCTTAGCATGTCTTCAGGAACACCACAGGGTTCATCAGACATCCCATGATCTAAAGGTTCAGTCACAGAGTCAAAAGAGATAGACACCCTGAGAAGATCCTTGTATGTGAGGCTGTGGAAAATCTGAGGTCCTGAGCAAGACTTATCTTCACTAGTAATATTCTTTCATAGGTCCCTCTTCTGCATCTGGTGGTGGAAAACTCCTGAGAGTTCACTTCAGATTCTTTCAGTATTATTTCAGTTGTGCAAAGGTTGAAAAGATGCTGAGGGTCTTGTTTTGAGGTAGAAGCAAAAAAATGATAATTTTTGTGGTGTACCCTTTCACAGTGTAAGAGTAGCCCATATTCCAGTAATTTGCATATGTGTGTGGGTGTCAGGGGAATGGAACTGGTCAAATAGTTTTGGACATCTACTTCTATTTGCTAAATACATATATATATATTTTTTTCTGCTTCTTTAAAATTTATTGATGACTTCTGGTTGAATTAGGTGAAAAACATACCTGGAAATAATTTGGAGAAAAAAATTGAGGTATCAAAACATTTTCCATCATACTTTGAAAACCAAAATTTTTATATTGGAAATAAAACCAAAGAACTTTTTTTTTTTTTGAGGTTGAATGGAACATTATTTTTTATTTGAAACAGTTTTCTTAGGGACAATTTTCCTCTTTTCAGAAAAATGAAACTTTTTTGGTCTGACACCAAATTATTAAAAATGTGTAACAGGAAAAAAAAAAAGGATGCAATCAAAGAATAAAAAAAAAATTTCTTTGCACACCTGGGAAGGTCACACAGAGAGACATTTTCACATTTGGCTCTGAAGGCAGGCCCTGGAGTGGAGCTGGGTGGAGTGTTATATTTTGGCACAGGATGAACAACACTCATGAACAATTTTCATTTTAAAAAAAGAAGCATCAAAATACGCATGCTCCCAAAAATGGTTTGTAGAAAATAGTTCAAATAATTGGTACCTTCATCTATAAGCAAAGCAATTTTTGAATCTTCTGAGAGGCAAGAACACTCTGAGAAACTCTGATTTTATACTCTCTTTTTGTGGAAATAGGAAACATTTTTAGACAGACTGATGAAGTTATTGTCTGGTAGTTTTCAGAGGCTGAAAGATAACAAATAATTTTGGGGAAGACTGTGAACAGCACTGAATAGTTGACTTCAAGTGGACCTTCTAGCCGATTACTCATTTTCTTGCACTGATATGGCTTTGCTAACTAAAGGTCAAACTGTTGACCTGACCTCCATTTCCCAAGTGCCTTCCTCATTTTTGAAAAAGGGGTTTGGCTTGCAAGTCATCTGAATGCCGCGAAGTGGCTGGACCTCAGTCCTTTGAGAGGAGACACTATACTCTAATAAACCCTAGACGTCCTCCCAAGACGTCCATCCATCTGATCTTCATCGAACAACAGAAAAGCACCCTGTAGGTGGAGAAAGGTTGTTGCATCAGGGAACTTCTCACGACTGCTGTGCAATCTCCCCTATGCTCCTGAGAAGGAAAGAGGGGAAGAACAACAGAAATAGTTCTGGCTTGTTGTTATTATCCTCCTCAGCTTTCCTCATGAGGAAGAGAGCTTGGGCTTTTGGAGATGAGAGATGGTGCTGAGGAAGTGGTGGAGGTGTTGGCTGGGACATTTGGAGAGGGGATGGGTCAAATGTGGGTGCACAGAGTCCGGAGCTGGGGGGAGGGAAGGAGTGTACCTTAGTCAGGAGAGGTGGAGAGAGGGATGTACCTGGCTGGGTAAGAAGTGATGAAGGTGCAAATAAATCAGATGTCAAAGCATGTCTGTTTTGTGGAGGTAGAGTGGGAAAAAAACTTTGGGATTCTCAGTTCTAGCACATGAGGTGTCAGCCTAACAGTCAGCTCTTCATATTTTAAATCCCTGATGGTGACTCTACTCCACAGACTAAATGCTGCTGCCTGGTGCAGTCTTAGTTCCTGTGGACACCGTCATCTGCCCTCTGTGCACAGAAACCCAGCACGCTGCTTCGAACTTGCTCTCTGTAGTGTACCATTCCTCCTTTGAGCCTCGTCTCCCAGCTGGGGGGAACCACATCAGTCCTGCAACTCATGGGCCCTCTAGAAAAGGAACTGAGGCAGGATTTAGCTGCACACATAGGCTAGGATGAAAATGCTTCTCGGGAGAAAATGGCAGATTTGCTGTTCTGTGTTAAAGGGGTACATGGTGGTAAGAGTAAACAAACACAAGTTTTGAAAAAATGTCTTGTTACAACTTGCTTTTTATATATATTGTCTAATTGTGCATTAAAAAAAAAGGTAGCAAAATTGCAAAGTCACTATTAGATTTGCAAAATGAACTTTCCTTTTGAACCTCCACAAAACAACCCCAGCCACCCAAACAGGAAGAAAGTCACAACAACAAAATTTTAAATCCCCCAATCCAGGAGCAAATCAGAAAGAAAAACACCCCCAGGAAAAGTAAACTAATAAAATAACCTTCACAAAACCCCTGCCCTCAGCAGTGTTTTAATCCAAAAAAGGGGGCAGAAAAAGCCACGGATTCCCTTAAGTCATGAGAGGCTTTGCTATTGCCAGTGATTTTATGGGGCGGGCGCTTGGACGCTGCACCGGCGGGCAGGAATATAAAGCTGCAAGACAGATCTACATCTGCGAACGGAGCACTTCAAATAATTTGCAAATGCACCTTGGCTTTGTTTCCCTTAAACTGCAAGCAGATCATAAGCCACCTTTGAAAATTTTAGTCTGTATCTGCACGCTGGCTTTCTCTGAGGGGTAACTGGCCAGTCTTGTACTAACGGGCTGGAAAATGTTTTTTGGGGGGGACGTGTGGGGGGGGTGGAAATCCTCTGAGTGCAGCGCCTAGGCTAGAATTGCAGAGGAAGCTGAGGCCTCCAGCCCTGCACAGGAAGCAATCTTAGAGCAGGCCTTAAATGCCAGATTCCAGGCAGAGTTTAACTAACCACTGACAGCTCTGTAAACAAAGCAGGGACAAAAAGAGAACAGCTTTCCCTTTTCTGGTAGTCATTTTTGGTTTGGGGGCTGCAGGGGAATTCTGTAATACTCGGCTTGATGGGATATAAACCAAGGCTGGAAAGGCTTTGTATATGAAGAACTGTAAAGGGGAAAATATTTCATGGACTAAACCATAAAGAAGGTAGGACACGGGGAAAATGCGTGGATTAAACTACAAAAAAAATATTGCTACTTTTGGTTCTCTGAGCAGGATTTATACATAGTTTGGCTTCTCCTGGGTGGTATTTAAAAGCTGCGGCTTGTTTTCCTTCTTTTCTCTTTTCCTTCTCTCCTCTTTTCTCTTTTCTTTTTCTCTTATTTTTTCTTTCTTTCTTTTCTCATTTTCTCTTCTTTTCCTTTTCACTTTTTTGGAAGGGGGGTGGGAATGGACAGACGAGGACTAACTTTTGCAGAACTTTTAATTATCTGTGCAACTAAAGAAAACAAGAAATCTCTTGTGCAGCGTTTTTACTGCTTCCAGAAAAAATTGGAAGCTTAAAATTA